AAGTAAGTGCCTTACCTCTAGTTCATACCACAACAATACAAACCCCCACTACATAAATAAACAAACAAACAAACAAATAAAACAGAGACGGCGTCCTCTTGCAAGTCATTCACACAATTTGACCGATTTCTGCTATTTTTTGTTTGTTTTCTACAACAAATTAGTTCTGGAAATCTCTTGAAAACAGGTGCCCCGTACTTGGACGTAAAGCCCGAGTTCCCGGGAAAGGTCGAGCATTTTATCAGCTTTATTGGCGTAAGTCAAGTGGATGTGAATTCTGCCTGCATCACACGTGTAACCTTTTCATGTAATGTGCCCATGTCTGAAGGGTTAGCGGTGGACTAATGTAGCACATATGGTAGATATAACGGAGAGTTGAGAGATGTATAACTGTATATACACAAACTAGTGGCGGCTATGGACATGTAGAAGGCCGCTCACCATATGGTGCCGTGTTTGGTAGCCTCTACCAGGCTTCGCGAAGCGGCTGGAAAGAGTAGCCTCCACCAGGGTTCGGGAGGCAGCTGGAAGGAGTAGAAATTGACCAAATATTCAGATAGCACAACGAGGGAGTCGGTCCTCAAAAAAGGGGGGCAAAATGTACTATTCAGCAGACTAACTACCCTGGCATGTTATTTGTCTATTTGGCAATTTAGCCTCTTCCCGAAGCCTGATAAAGGCTAGTTTAGGAAATCCTTTCAAAAAAAAATTCCATGGAGGCTAGTAGCCTGGGTGTCATCCGATTTGTAACGACAACCCCTAAAACGTTACAAATCGGACGGCACCCAGGCTAGGAGGCTAGTCGGCTAGTCGACCAAAAAGATGACAGCAACGCACAATGCTCTCCGCGACCTTATAAAGATCTCTCAGCGATCTTTCAATGTTCGCTATGGTCGGATTTTTAAAGCAGCATTATGTAACATTAGGACGAAACAAAATGTCAATTTCTTTAGATCAACCCTACTCCATTACCAATGTGCTGTTAAGCAAGTGGAGGTGCCAAAATACAATGTCTTATCTAAATGGCTTTATAAGTTGGAAACACTGCCGTCAGCCATGTTTGTTTACATTCTGGTTCTTTTGTGGTGGCACCACAAACTGAGTGCGCCTCATGGGGGCTGTTTTACCGACAACCATAAATGTCTGAGATGTGACATAATTGAATGAATAAATGAATAAATGAATTGCTTATTTGATCATTTTGATCGGATATGAAAAGTACATGGCAGCATAGTCTGTATAGCGTACTTTTTACATACTTAAAAAACTGTTCACAATAGGCAATTTACCATTTAGCTCTTATCTTATCGTTCTTGTTTAACAATATTCATATTTTTGAAATTGCACAAATATGTTGAAAAAGGGGAAACAAGTTGCAATCGCAGAAAGATTTTTTCAATTAAAATATTTCAATTTTTGGTTATGTTAAATATTGCCCCTTTAACTTTTGAGACGCTGTGGAGGCCGCTGAACAATCTGGCGGACGGTCTCCCTCCTGTAGCAGGGCAGGTCCTTACTGTTCATACCTGTCATCAGAACTTCTCCATCGGCATTTTTGCCGAATACCTGAAGTCCTTGAACACTTGTGAGCGGCCATTACAGTAGCAGCTACGATCTCCAAGCAGATTTTTTGCCGGCTGCAAATACAGCATCAAATAGGATAGACAGCAGTATCCATTTGCTAGACAAGTATCGTTTGTCACTTGAATTTTGGCTAGCGTAAAAAATACCTGTACAAAAAGAAAGAAAGCTAAAAAAAATACGTCAAAAAAAAGCCGAAGCATAAACCTCTGCTTGGAGAGTACAACAGCTACAACCTACTCCGGTACGTACGCACAGTCTCCCTCGCTGATTGGCTGTGATTGATTGATAGTTGATTGATTGACGTATCGACGGCTGAATTGATGGATAACTTACTGTAACAAGGCTGGCAAACAGGAAGGCGTGCTCTTGACAGGGTTACTTTAAAGTCTGACAACATCGTTGGGGTGTAGCCAGAGTTGATAGATTTGGGAAATGTAGTCGCAGAAATGGTTGAGTGGTACACACTGTTAACAGACGAGCAAGGATGGGGGAGGGAGCGATCGTTAATGCTACAGGTGGGGACTGTTCTAAAACAATTAAGAGTTGGTACATCAACAACATGGAGGGTAACCCTGCTTTCAAAGGCATCCAAAGAAATTTTAGGGCAGCGAAACTGGATTTTCGAAGTCAATTTTCTGGCATGCTGATAGCAGAATCAACCCTATGCCATAGCATACTGATATCTGTTAAGGCAAAAATGCGATGTCACTGCAGCTGACGGAAAACTTGTTTTGTAAATCTCAATATCAGAAATATTTTCTCATCCGGAATATTTTTGTGTTGCCGCCCTGAACTTGCATTGGATGCCTTCAAGTTAGATTGAAAGCTACATGTACATGGCTGACATCCCCATATGCTGTTACAGAATGCCCATGTGCCACTCCCCCCGCTAATTATGAAGTTAACGCACATCATCACACTTCAAGTGCATGGTTGGCCTCTAGAACTGGAATGTTTTTAACCTGTGCTAAAACGTGGGAGTAACCAATGAAAGTATGAACTCCATTTAATCTACAAGCGTTTGTTATTTGCAATATCGTGGTCGCTTTTGTGTATTTAGTAATCTTTAGTAATAATTTAAAAGCACCCAATGCAGTTTTTAGGGTTTGGAAACCCGATTTTTCAACGCCGATATTCTAGTTATCTACATAGTGAGTCTCAATATATATTGACCCTCATGTAGCAAAAATTCCCAAAATTCTGACGGAAAATGGGTACTGAAAGGGCCCTGGGCTGATTTTTAGGGTACCACACAGAAAATAAAGGACTCATCTTGGGGCTTGTTTCTGCAGTTTTAAGTGTTCTAAGTATGAAATACTGACTCAAATGTACTGTGAAGCAGTATGTGTCGATATAATAAAGAATGCCTCATTCAGAATATTTTCAGTTTTGCTGCCCTTAAAATCGCATTGGATGCCTTTAAGTTATATTACATTATTTCAATGACAAACCTGTTGTTATATTTTATATTTTACTGTTCTTGTCCGAACGCATTAATCATCTATAAGACAATTATTCAAATTATGTCACTTTATTATATGATAAAATTATTGTATTTCATAGTTCTTACCAAAACTAGTGAATCATCTATAAGATAACGATTTAATTTATGGCACTTTATTTCATTAACAAACCTGTTGTTGTATTTTATATTTTTGCTTAATGAGTGAATCATCGATAAGACAATGATTTAAGTTAAGTCATTTTTTATTTCATTGACAAACTTGCTGTTATATTTTATATCTCTTGCCCAAAAATGGTGAATCATCTATAATACAATGTTAAGTCACTTTATTTCGTTGACACTTATGTCACTTTATTATATGACCAAATTGTTATTATATTTCATAGCTCTTACCAAAACTAGTGAATCATCTATAAGGTAGTGATTTCATTTATGCCACTTCATTTCATTAACAAACCTGTTGTTATATTTTATATTATTTTTTGCCTTATGAGTGAATTATGTACAAGATAATGATTTAAGTTGTCACTTTATTTCAATGACAAACCTGTTGTTATATTCTATAGTTCTTGCCCAAACGTGTGAATCATTCATAAGACAATTATTTAAAGTCTGTCACTTTATTATGTGACCAAATTGTTATTATATTTCATAGTTCTTACCAAAACTGTGAATCATCTAATAAGACAATGAGTTAAGTCACTTTATTTCATGGACAAACCTGTTGTTATAATCTATAATTCCTATGAAAACGTGTGACTGTTGTGATTGGTTATGTCGCATGTCCCCGGGGTGGTTGCTGTGACTGGAGTACCCGGGACCGGGCATCACGGGGACCGGGATGACTAATGACTCCCCTCGGTACACGTTCCCATCGCAAAGTCTTCTGAAAGGTCTCCACGTGCTCGCAAGACAGAATTTATCATGAGTTAAAAGAATGTTTGGGGCGAAAGGGTCTAAATATTTGGACAAAAACAAAGCCCTACAACTCGCGGGTGGTAGTCTTTGTTGAATGGTATCGGTTAAGTAATCTAAGTACAGCTAAACAGTTGTCCATCAGCGAGCATTGCATTTTCATAGTGGTGTCCCTAAGCACTTCGATGTTATCAGTGTTTGGCTCGTGTACCTTGCGATCTTATCGGGTAGGTTCGTGCACAGGCTCGGCTTGAGGCGGCGGTATTACAACAGTAGCCGGTACACGCGCAGCGCTCCTAGAGACTCCCTAATATCCGCCCTCTGTAGCTGCGTAAGAATTCTAATTGCAAATGCCTTTAGCTGCACATTAGTGCCAGCGCAGCCGGTGTGACCGGTGGGAACCTGGGGGTCTTTGTTGGCATTCGATGGGAGCCTTTACGCTGATCGCTTTAAAATGGCCAGATAAGTTTCTTTTCTCGTCGGCGATCAATCTTCTGGAGTTGTTTTAGCTAGCGAGACATCCGCGTTTGAATTGGAACAAGTAGTTTCGGTCCCCGGGGCTTTCTTGTAGCTCCGCTGTCCCGGTGAAAAATATTCGGGCAAGCAAAATTGGTTCGAGCCCCACAAAGAGAGTCAATAACAGGCCGAACAAACGACATGTCGGAAATGAAAAGCCCGGGTTCATTTACACACAAGCTGAGGGGCAGCCACCTTAAACTTTAATTTCGCTGGCGTACAAAAGCCTCTATTGGCACATTCCGCACTTACATCCCTTGTTATCGGTAGAAACCAGAGAGACTGACACATTAGCGCTCGGAAATAAACAATCCCATGCCAGAGGACACAAAACCTCCAATCGCGAGTGCACAACAAACAGTCGCTTAAGTTCCAGCTGACAAATGCTTATGAAAGGGGACTGACCCTGGGCCGTGTGGTGTGGGGCTGGCTCGGGTTTCCCTGACCGCGTGTGTGGCAAATGTAGGACAAAACCACCAACTTCTCCCCCCGGAATAACACAAATAAAACCGACACAGTGTACCGTAACAACACGGTGTATTTAATTCGTATCAACAGAGCGGCTACCCTGAACAGTAAACCATCGCTCCAAAAGTCGTGATGTAGAGACCTGGGTACATACATTATAACAGTCATGTCTCCCACAAAAAATAACATTTCATCTAACCAAACGGCCTAAGCGAACACCCAGTCTCATATATGTCATCACCAGACTATAACAGTCTTCCAGAAATTAATCAATACAGAAACCAAGTTGTAGATAAGGCTTTGATACGCGATACCTCGCTTCAGTCTGTCAAAACAATCCTGTACTAGGTCGTCGCTCTAAGTGTGTCATCCCCATGTGTTAGCTGGGTGCCAGATGCTTAGGCGGTCATGATAATAATAACAGCGATCACTATTAATGCAGGTAGAGATATCAAATGCACGTCTACATCATCTCTATTTACAGCAGAACATACGACAGTACGAATCGTTTTAAGTCCTATGGTGGACATCATATGAAAACAGACAATACGCCATGTCTAGTAATCGCCATGCCCCCCTCCCCCTTCAGAGCGAAGGCTTGTCATTGCTTTTGTGGCTTTGTTATAAGCTTCATATATGTATATAAATCGCTATAGGTCGATGTTATGCTGAGTCTATTTTTGTATATGATATTCCGCTCAGGAGAGGGGGAGGGGGGCATAGAGAGCCCAGATAAATGGCGAGAATGATGCAGTGACACCACAGGGTACACCACAACACCGCCTGGTCATTATGACGAATTACCGCAACACAACCCTAACATATGTTCAGCAACATTAGACGTAAGAGACACCATTTTCAACTCACATATCTGTACACGATAATTTAAGGCAGCAAACAGTTGACATACTTAGGGTATCAATGATGTTTACATACACGGGCTGTAATACCAGCCAAATGTATTCCATCTCGCCATCTGTAGATTTGGACATGATGTAGAGACCCTCGGCGTGCTATGGCCTTCAAACTAACATTAATGTCGGGTGTGGAATTGGTCGCCATTGAGCACATGCATAACTAGTGCTTTTTAAAATTCAGCCCAACGATTCACGTCAAAAAAATAAATATCTTTCGCAATCTTGCTTGGCAAAGAGGACGCTGGAATTTTAAAAACCATCCCAAAGTGACCACTGTCAATTGCATCAACAGGTCCATGTGATATATATAAAAGCTCGTACTATACACTGCCATTTTTTATGTTGATATGTCAGGTGCCAATTTAGGATAATGGGCCCAGAATAGCTGTACATTTTTACAATGTCTGTACATAGAATTAGGGCAGTCAATCCATCTTGCTGCCAGCCGTGCATGTACAAGTATGTTGGGACATGTTCAACTTGTGCCCTTATAGTTTTCAATCCTTGGTAGCGTGCAAACGGCAGTAATATATATATACATACAGGCAATTGTATTGTCTTAAGCAATATTGTAGTAAACACAACTTGCTTCTTTTTCTGCAGGCGGCGTCACCTCGTGAGTATGAAAGTACCCCTCGTGGTGGAGGGGGTGTATCCTCATGCATCCAGGGGGGGTATCCGCTCTCCTCAGCACACCTGGGGGGGAGGGGCAGAAAGAAAGCGTTAAAGATCAACAAGAGAACGCTACTCTCTAAAAACCATGCTTTTAAAATGTAACGATCGGTGCCGGCAGATGCTTGGGGCGAGTTCCACTACTGCCATAGCAACCCGTCTTCCGTTTAAACACGCCGTAAATTGACTGCAACCCGAGCTGTGGAATGGTATGGGCTGCACTGTGGGGATACTTTAAAAACACACGAAGCAATTTTAAGGTGGCAAAACAAAAATACTAGTATTCTGGATTACGAAATCTGTCTGATATTGCCATTTACTGTCATTTCTGAGCAATTTTATTTCATACTATGAAGCTTTTGAAATAGCAAACAAAAACAAACTATGTGAGGAGTCCCTCAATTTTTGGTGCCACCTATAAATAGCTACCAGCCTATGATACGAAACAAGCGATAGTTTTCCGTCAGCGACATCACATTTTTGCTTCAGAAATATCAGTATGCTTTGGGATAGGGCCTAGGGTTGATTCAACTTATACTAGTATATTAATAAACCCAGCAAAACTAGTACCACGTATGTTGTGGAATATAGTATAATGCAGTAGACGTAGTCTCTTATATCAGTATATTTTCTTTTTCATACAAATTGCTTGTATCTGAAATTAGCCCTCGGGTATATATTTGCAACAAACTTTACATTAATAGAATGACTAGAACAGTGACTTTAAAAATCCAGGTTTGCCTCCCTGAAATTTTAGTTGGATGTCTTTAAATAGATACCCCGCTAAAGTTTGCCGTGCACAACCAAGGCTGGCTTCCCTAATCTCCTACGATGCTTGTATAGCATTCGACTTTGCCCCACCCCCTGGTGCATTAACCAGTCTAAACATGCATTACACCAGGGTGGGAAATGGGGGGAGGCTGATAACCACTAATTAATTTATCCGATTACAATGTGGAGGAATTACAGCACTTAGGAAATTGGAGTTGTATCTTTCCGCCCTGCTCCCGGATAGACTTTACATACAAGACGTCATGATGTATTCCGCTCTCCACATGTCAATTTTCCCCCAACTGACACTACCGCAATAAACTATGGATTAGACCTGCACTTTGCGATATTGATTCAGCCATGGCACACTTGGCCTGTATTACAAATAACGGAAATTACCGCAAATTAAATAACTTCGTTTCCAGCTTGTTTACCCATGGTCGGCCTAGAAATTACACTTTGATGCAGGATTAGGGCGAGCTTCCAGCTCGGGTATTTGCGAAATTACAGGCGCCCCTGTCCTATTGGGGTTACATGCATTCTCAATTTATTTTTGAAGCGAAGAATGTAATTTAGTTTGGTACTTCTTAAACAAACAGAGCGGTGATTGCATGCGGCTTGAGCGGCATACCAACTAGATGGGACATTTGGAGAGTGGATACATCCCGGGGTGTTTATTTTTGAAGCTCGAGGCTGGAGCTACATCCTCGCCTTCCATTCCTGACATATCCCCGCGGAGTACTGGGATCGTGACGGTGCCACCGACCGGGACCCAGTGGGGAGGGGGGGAAATAACACCTCATCTACCCTGCCTCTGACTTCTCCAGACAACCTTTCACACCTGCCCGCGTCACTTATTGCTGTGGTCCCGTTCAAATCCCACTGCCGACTCCGGCAATCCGCCGTGCCGTGCACAAGATAACAATGCTTCCTAAATTGAAATTGTAGCAGTAATTGGCTTGGTCGATTGCCTTACCTTATGTTGTGGCCGGAGGCCCTGGGTTGGGGGACCTTCTGCCGCACCCTTCAACAGATTGGTTCCGTCCTGTTCACAAAATATCCTCCCATTCACGAAGTGGTATCTGGGAGAGAAAAAAAGAAGATATAAAATGTCAGGGCATGGTTCAACTGACAAACTGTTTCCTCGGTGGCGACTGGGGAAGCCGAGATCGTGCCATGGGTCGATCCGACTCGTGAAAAGCAGATAGCCTTTAAAATTGATGTCAAGAACAAATAGTTCCCCTCTGACTGAACCCAACCCGCCCCGACGATCCCGCTAGGAACAGGTCTCAGCCCCTAGTGGCTACCGCTACTCGTTGCCCCATGATCCGTAGTGGAATCAATTTGTTTTTCCCGCTGACAAAAATGGCTACAGTTACTGTGCTGGAGAGTGGCACGGACCGCTAGCCTGGTCTCATTTCACACCCGGGATCCCCGCTCCCAAAGGGTGGGACGTGACATTAGCGGCGGAGCGACCGGGACGGGTCACCCTTCCCGGCGGCGTGGCACGCACCGTGTCGCCGTCAGCACTCCGAACGGGAGATAGGATAGAACTGGTGGCGTGAACCATGAAATTAAAGGGAGAGATTAATGCCACTGAAAATCAATCACGGCAACAATAGAACAACTGATTGGGAATGATACGACAAAAATTGGTTCTGGTAATCAGTTTTGGCGTCGTAGTGTTACATCTCTTCAAATTGTGTACGTGGACTTGGTTAAATCACCTCATTGCGCCCGCGAACCCGCCGCTGTGGCCCGCCCGATATTTCATAATATCATGATACAGTGCTGTATTATATTACTCCGTTATTTCAATTACCAGGAAATAATTTCTCGTGTTTCTAGTTTACTTTGTGGGGGCCCAAGCGTGGAGTGGTCTAAATTAACAAATGCCAAAGTGACAAGGAGAATTTCTACACAAACATTTCTAACCCCCCAGCCTTGCTGAGCGACTGTTACGACAGGACTTTCCGAAAACTTTGTAGCTATTTGCAGCGGCCAGCGGTCAGTCTTGGCTTGTATGGGCAGCCGGCCGGTCACCTCAGAGGAATGTTCTCCCATGTATAAACTGATTGCAAACTTGTTAATAAACGCGATGCTACCCCGATGTGATAAAATGATACACACACCAATGATTTGCATGGCGAGTTCTCGCTGCCCCCTTTTTTTCCGGAGGACTCTAATATTACCACGGGCCGCAGTGCACTTCAATATTATATTAAAGGCAAATATCTCATAAGTCTTCATATACCCATGGGGACGCCTAGGTAGCACTCTATTCTATGCGTTTAATAAATCAGAAACAGTACACCTTTGCCTAATTGCTTCCTGGGTGCATAGGTTATTGACGTGCGTTAGCTGCGAGTGTTCATTACCAAGGCCGACAATTCCCCAAATCTCGTGCCACGTTACCCTTTCCAGTTTTTGTGTGCCAGTGGAGGGATGGCTAGAGAAAAAGGGATCAAATCATGTAACAAGGTGGGCTCAGAGGACTGGCAATTCTTTTATTCAGCTTACAGCATTTGCTCGGCGTTGAGATGCCAAATGCCAGCCCATTTACAGCTTTTTACTGTAATCCTCGCACATTTGGGGCTCAAAGCCAGGGGAAACATTGTTTTAAATGTTAAGTACCACCACTCCGAGGAAGCTGAAAACCCCCTGATTATACGGTAAGTGGAAAGTGCTTTTAGTGAGAAGTTTGGGGGGTAAAAACACGCACCTGTCTCCAGGTGACAGCTGGTATCGGCAGGTGAAACACGTGAAACACTTGACGTGGTAGACGTTACCCTGCGTCCGCATGACGAACTCGTTGGCTGGGATAGACTGTCCGCAGGCGTTACAGGCTCCACTCGCACCGAACAGCCTGTAAACAAACAAACAACAACAACACGTGTTTACAAGAGACTGCTTCTGTCAATAAAGCACGGCTATTTTTTTTTATGAAAAAAGGGGCCCGGATGCATGACAACCCCACCCTACTTTCAGACATACACAAGTACTACACCACAAGAATATCAACGTTTTATGACTCTGTTCTGAGCTGAAGTATGTGCCCAGTTGGAGTCTCAATCAAACCTTGTTGTCATAATAAGATGTAAAACCATTAACTCAAGGTCGGCTGTATCCAATGTTTACACTCAATCCCAGAGTTTGTCACAACCTGAAAACCTCCCAGTCCTTGAACGTGCGTCCTACCAGATTTTCTCAGTACACGAATTTCCTGACTTTAGAAGACAGCATTTGTCAGGATTTGGAGCTCAAACTCGGGCCCACCACTTAAGTGTCAGAATTGAAAGCCTAAAATGCTACCACTTCATCACGCCTTCTTAAATCGGCCACAAGAGTCTTCCTGCAAACTTCGGGGCCTCCGAGAACACGTCTTGGGACAATTTAACAGACGCAGGGGTGGAGACTTACACATCGAATGCTCGTTAAAGACAAATTCTTCGAGTACAAAGACTTTAAGTTGAAGGAGAACTTGGCCGCTTTAGTAGAAAACGTGGCAGCCAGGTTAACTCTGCTGCTAACAGGAAATGTTATGTTTATCTCTATCCTCGTCCTGCGACCTGCCACTGCTGACATCTTAATGTTCGCCTAAACTGTACACAAATGACTTCATGTTTCAGGAGAACTTTACTCTGACAAGTCTGAGTCATTCGTACGTAACTAAAAAAAATACAGAAACAAGAAAGTGTCATTGTAACGAATAAAACAGGTTAGTTCACTAGTACTAGAAGTTATTGTAAGGTTTTCTGTCGTTTTTTGGCTAAGTCATTCGTATGTAAGTAAAAAGGAAGAAAAAAAAGAAAGTGTCATTGTAACTTGTTGCGACTAAAACAGACTTTAGTTCACTACAACTAGAAGAAAGCCTTTTGTACGCAAGTAAAAATGCAGAAAGTTTCGAGAAACAAGAATGTGTTATTGCAAGGACTAAACCAGAGGTGTGTTTATAATACTTCACTGCAACGAGACGAAATTAAAATATTTTCTGTCGTTCTTGTACAGTTAATTATTGTGAATGCCCTTTCCTGTTTTGGTAAGTCTATTCGCGGAAAGTTTGTCAGAGATAAAGCCTAAAAGCGTGGTAAACACTGAGGCGGCATTAGTTAGGCCTCGTTCATGATTGAAATGTGTTCCGGTTTGGCCACGATCCGAATCGAAACGGAATATATTTTTGGCCATTTTTGCGTCCATGATTCAAAACTTGAACCCACACTGGAAACGGTTTCACACCTCGAATTGACTTGCATTTCATATGTATATCACAATTTCTTTGAATATTTCCTGAGAACCCGGCTCGTAAGGCGGAGAGTTTACGCCTGTTTCAGGCGAGTGGTCGCTCGTTCCCGACTCATGCCCTCCCCATGGCATAGGCTGTGCCCCGGACGCATCTGGCGCAAAACCCCCACGGTCCGCCGCCCCAACGTCCCCGTTGGGCTACCACTCGCCCTCACGCCCAGGGTAGGTTCTAGTATACACCATCCAGTTTCCTCTGGATCTCCTGATTTACCCAAGTCAATATCGGAATTCGAAGTCCCGTTTCCTCAGTCGACCAGTAATTAGAACTCGATGTCAAGATTGTACGATTCAAGTAGAATTTTCGGCAGTACAAGCCACTGCGCCGCAAACTATGACCGACCGTGGCCCCCACGTACCCGGGAGTACAGAGTCGAACCGGAACGATTCGCATCCGCGCGTTCATGATTACAATTCTACGAATGCGAATCGTATCGTATCGTTTCAGACCACCTCGCGAGGTGGTTCAGAATAAATCGCAACGGAACCGGTTTGGAGCGTTCATGTTCCTAAATGAATCGATTTATTTTTTTTAAATCGAATTGATTCGCAACAGATATGCAATCATGAACGGGGCCTTAGTGACCTCCCGAAGCAGCCAGAGCCACGGCGTGCCATGTTTGTACACCTAGGGGGGTGGACAAAACACATAGAGATAATCCATTGTTTTTTTCGGCTTGGTAAATTAATTCACATTAGTTTTCACACGTGTTTCTCAGCCGCTGTGTGGAATCAGGGCAAGCTGTTCGCCATCTGACCATGTTGTAATCTAGTGTACTGCTGTACCAACAATTTATACACCTACAAATACAACACATTTTCGTCTTCTTTCTGGGCTGATAGACTAGTGTAAAAGGACAATGTAAGGAAATAATTCATCTCCCAAACACTCTCCCTTCCATGTATCAGTGTGGGAACGGAGAGTTTAAGATTTGCTTCTCTCCAACCAGGCTTGGCAATCATATCTGCAGGTACTGTGGGCCTGTAGTTTCAGCTGATTTAGATGTATAAAGAGGGACATGCCGTGATGGCTTGTATCAGTCAGCCCCCCCTTATTCTGTCAGGCACTTAGAGAACGGGCTGCCAAATGGATGGGACGTAAAACCCAGCTTTTAAGTACAGCGTGCATTGAGGTGCACTTACCCAGGACCTTAAGATTCCTTTCCTCTAAAAGCACGTTCTCCTGCTCTCTCAGTTTTAAAAGCCGTTATGGCGCAAAAAGCCCGAGCTCAGCCGCCAACCTTAAGACTTTTAAAAGNGTTGTAGGAGGGCCTCTCTCCAACTCGGTGAAAGCTCCGAGTTCCCGCTGTTAATTTCCAGCCCACTAAAAGCAGCAGACAGTGAATGTAGCAAAATGGAGAAGGAAATGTATCTATGAGAAGCGGGGCAGAATAAGAGTTTGCATTAGGCTAAGTGCCATAGAGAGCAGGATAAATAACACAGGCAACTGAAGTGCACTTTTGGGCCGCTATCATGCAAGGCGGATCTCCTGTTTTTAAAAGCTATATTGCTTAAATGTAAAACTTGGGCAAGAGGGAGAAAGGTCGATGGTAATGACCTTCCTATAAAAGTTATAGTTTAAGAGCCTTTAAAAGGCCTGGGACCCGCGGTAAGAGGATGCCCTCCTCTGTGAATGTAAACCACCGCGGAGGGTCACCATACTTTGAAGTTGTACCATCGATTGAGTGAAATGTGACGCATATTTGCTTCCACCGATTCAGGCCCAGCACTTAGAGGATGCGCCACGTAGGCTCAGGAGTATTTCCCTCGCTTAGCTCTGAATGTCAACCATCGAGCCGAATGGAAATGTAACGCTGCACTTAGATACACTTTGATGGAGGTCTAAAGAAGGGCGAATCCGCAGAAGACCAAGGGACCTTTCATTGCGGATTGTCTCTCAAGCCGCGTCTGGAGAGAAAACACCACGGCAAAAATTCGTCCACAAGGGCGCAGCCACTTTCATATCCGTAATGGGTGTAATTTGGCCCACTTCACTCCAATTACTCCACGAACCATTAGACTCTCTTTCTTCCCTCAGATTAAAATGATCAAAGATACGTGTACTCATTTCATGAGATATAATGGAAAGTACATCAATCCCATGCCCATAACTCGGGGGCAATTATTATGTGTGGGAATATTACCCAGGTTAATGTACATTTTAACTTGCACAACCACGTAAATGCATACCCCGCCATTTCTCCTCATTACTGGAAACAAGATTTATTTAATTTATCTCCCATTTCCCCGCTAAGGTTGATTGGTGCGGGAGACTTTGCCTGCTCGCATTAGGGCCAGGGAAATGGGATATGGACTAGATGTGTTTCTACATGCCTTGCTTGAAAGCCTCGACACATATGTGAATCGGAGAGAGTCCCATTTGGGGCTTGGGTTGACACTCAAAAGTGGCGGTGAGCGGCGTAATTTTTCTGAGTGTTGAGGGATCACAACGGCTGGCAGGGCGAATTACGGAAGGCACTCATCATGCAGTGAATATCCTTCATGCTTGCCGAGCACCCTCGTCCGCCATGCATCATGATCAGTGTAGCGGGCTGTCCTTTATAAACAAGCGGGCAGCCGGGGTGTGTTTGTGCGTGCCTTATCGCGCTCTACAACACGTTCGTAGCTGGCAAATTATGACCCCTCCAAAACCATTATTAACCCAGCGGACTACCTACCGTATGTAGTCGGTCTTGCACAGGATCATGCCGGCCTTAGAGAAGCAGGAGCTGCCGAGGTCTCCGAGCTGGGCCTGGCAGCACGAGCACTTCAGACACGCCACATGCCAGTAGCGGTCCAGGGCGTGCAGCAGGAACCGGTCGCCGATTTTGCCGCCGCAGCCGGCGCACTTCTTGACGGAGCCGTTGTCGGTCATGGGTCCGCCCCCTCCCCGAGAAGGCACCACAGCGGGCCGCTGACCTATAAGCAACACACGGGAGTACACACACCGTAAGCACCCGCCACTCGCACACGTTCTTCCCGCTAATATCACGTCACGAACACAGCCCCCCTCCTCACATACACACACACATGCATATACACACACACTATACACACACACGGCGTGCCACTATAAAACAGTTCATCAACAACTCCCACACAGGAGTGAAAATGGCCATAATAACGCCCTACCTGCCAAGATACCATCAACACCTTGGTGCCAATGAGGGACATAATATACAGCACGCCCTGGAGTGTAAAGTTTGACATACAGGCTTGCGGGAAGCGTCATATGTGGGGCCGGGGGAAACACATTGTCGGCACTTACTGCTCTCGAAGCCGCCCGGCTGTTGCTCCATGCCCGCCGCCTTCTTGCTCTCGGCGATCATGGGTTTCTCAGTCGGCACGTCTGGCGGCCCCGTTATCCCGAGAACGTGCGTGAGGAGAGCGCCTTATCGGGCGAGCCCGCCTGTTCGACCGTCACGCTGGTGTGTTTGACAGCCTTCTGAACGGCCCACCGCCGGAGACACACCGAAATTACCCCGCTCCGTGTTTGACCAAACAACTTAGCAATTTCAAATGTCAAATACACAGATCAAGCAGTCGGCGATGCCAATGAATGGGCAGCTAATGATTACCATCGGGCGAATCAGATAACCGCGTACTAATGAACACGCTTTGCACGGCGGATCACATGCAAAAACTCTGGGCTACAATAGGTTCTTTGATCGAACAAATACCACTCGAACATGCAGCTACTTCCCGTGCTACCAGGCCAAATACTTCCGCGGCCTTCCTCTGACGCGAGAGCTTATAATTGAGCAGAGAATCGATGGCCACGTGATGTCATGTAATTATTCTCTCCCCGTAGCTGAGCCGCATTTATTTGATTTCAATATTTGGTCATAAAATCGGTGAGGAAACAGCTGCGATCAGGCGGCTCCCCTCCCCCCGCCAGCACCAGAATGCGCCGTCCCTACTTCCCGTTCCCTCGCCCCACGTCTTTCATCAAAAAGCTGTTTAAGTATTGATAAATTCCTGCGGCTAATTACTAACTTTCTCCATTACATGCTCCCAAAGAACATATAAGCGGCGTGGGCCACGCTCTGAATGGGCTACGATGCCAGAGGGGCGATTCTATATCGCTCTCGTCTTCTGATTGATGCTTAGAAAAGAAGCAATTATCAGCATAATCCCGAGGATCTGGGAAGGGTTCATTATTCGCCACAATCGCCCTCGGATGAATGCAATTAACCAAATGTCAAAGAAAACAAACAGAGGGTATTACACGTTCGTAGCAGCTGCGAGCTTCGGAAAATTAATATACGGTTGAAACCTATGGGCAGCTGAAATCCAATTAAACTACAAGCGAACTTCAGATGCGAAAAGTTCGAGGCGAGGTCCTGTCGGAATTCACGGTAGCGGAGCAGGCCCAAAATGCCACCGCTCCCTGATAATAATAAACGTCCCCTTTCATCCCACTCCTTGTAGCTGAAAATGAACATGAAATGAACAATATTCATATTCATTTCCCTGTTATTGCGGTGGGTAATAAGCATGAAAGTAATATTCGCTGATACAGTTTTGGTAGAGACCTCGCGAGCGGGAATACAGGGTCGCTCGGGCCGCCTTTCTCCCAGGCATGAAGTCGCCTCGTTGTAAGAGAGGGTGAGAAGGAGTCCAATTCTCCCGGCGATTGATAACAATATCGCCGCCCGGGGAGTTGCCTTTGTATCGCGTCCATTAACGTACTCTCCGAGAGATTCAGTTTGTAATATTTTCCATTAGACTTTAATGGAACTATTTTGGCAGAACCGTTCCCGGCCGGGGCTTTATTAGAAGCATGGCCGAAGCTAGATAGAATGAAATTTCCTGCAACATAATATAGCAATTAACTTTTCATTATGAAGTAATATCCCTAATTGAGGTTTCGCTCGAAATCCGATTTCAGGTCCTTTTTCTTCCCCTCCAATTTCAAAGATCAATGGGAAAGGGCTGCGCTGATGCATAGTGAATGAGATCTCTGCGCGATTCAAGGATAATGAAAGGAGAGGAGCGATTTGCCCGCGCCATAGAAAGTGACAAGACAACAATATAGCCATTACGATGTAATTACTTAATACATCCCCCGACAATCGGGTCGCTTGGCGAGGGAGAGCCGCCACTAGTTGCGATCTCTTGCCCGGTTTTTGTAATGGGACGCCGCCGGAAAATCGGCCGCCCTCCATCACTGCACTTGAGAGAGTGAAGGGGGCTCATTTTGATTTATTTATGAGGCTTTCTGTTGCACTAAACCTTCTCTATATCAACCCCAGCCATGCGTGTGCATGCTGTCAGTAGGATGTCAAGCAAGTGTCAGGCGAAATGGTAAGAGAAGCACATTCTCTTAATTGCATCATTACCGTCGATTGTAAATATTGATTAGGAAATTACCCTGAAATGAAACCAATAATATTAAGAGCGCGCCGGGTAAGACCGGGCGCAGAAAATTACAGGCCTGCACTGGCGGATAAAAGAGATGATGCGATCTTAATTGGACAAAAGGGGGCGGACTACACATGGTTTCGGGCTCGGCAAAATGTGAAGCTCGTTTGCAGTTAATCGCGATAAAGCATCCCGCTGTCGGGAAGAGAAATGAGCTTGGCGGGAAAAAGAGGCCGAGTCACCAGCGAGACCTCCCCACTCTGTGAACAGGTGAGACCGGCTGGCATTTAGCAGATTAAACCCACGGTCCACTAGCCCCCAGTCGCTCGCCCTCTAACCTTTCTCAGCGGAACCAATTAATGAAAACACTTGTCCTTGGATTTGTTAAAAAGAAACTGTGTAATTAAAATGTTGCCGGAGCCGTACACCCGGAGAGACCCCAATTTCCCCCGTGAAGGAGAGTGGTTTCGTCCCCGAGGCTTGTCAGACGACATTTCCCCCCCTGCCCTACAGACGGAGCTACTTTGGGACGACATTTCTCTCACCGCTCTTTCACACAAACGCGCGCTATCATTCTCCTAGCGCGCAAGGGGCGCCAGGGTTGATGGATCACTGTGTTCTTTGCAAACACTGTTCCAGAAAAACGATAGCACAGGCACACCCAGCCTCTTCTTCAGAGGTTAATTGAGAGGGTTGCCGATATATTTTCGTTTGTCAGACGATTATTAATTCCCATCCCTCAAAAGTCCTGCATACGCCAACAATTTGATTCAATTTATCTGTCCGGCGTGATAAATTGTATCTTGCAGGGGCTCTGGGAAAACCTGGTCGCCATATTTTCCATGGGAAGGAATGCCAAGTCCCCATAGGCTCTATTGTCAGGACGCTGCTACATTATTACTTCTCGTCAGGCCTTCCCTGTAAATATTGCGTCGGTGTGCAGAAAACTTATAAGACTCTATTCCCTCCGCACCAGATTAGGAAAACACCAGCGTGCGTACAACATATGTTGGACAGATTCGGCTGTCCTTCCGGGCCGAAACATTCGATGTTTGCTGGCAACGCTGCAGGAATTTTGATGGGGGAGGACCCGCAAACTCGGGGGTGAAACGTAATTGCATGGCTAACTTCACATTAATTAACTATAATGGTGACAATGCCCTTGTTCTGTCACAAAAGTCAGCGAATATGCATTAATGAAGGCTTTAATGAATCCACAGAGGACGCATTGTGTCAGTGAATGGGCCGCTGTTGCGTTAGAGACGTGACTGCGTTGTTCCTAGCGCGTTCCCACGTTTACAGAACACCATTAGTCCCGCTGTGCTTAATGAACTTGGCTAACTCATGAATCGGGGCCAGCCATTACCGTAATGATGTTTCCCACCAAATTTCTAATGAGGTTTGCACAACTTTTCAGCCGCCGATGGCTTCCCCCTTTCAACGTCTGCTCTCATTTACAACACTTTGAACACTCAATGAATGCCGGGCAGTGTTGAAGTACTAAACACGAGTGTGGTGTTATAGAACATGCCAAAACTCAGCATTGACATTAAGTTAATTTAAAACAGTAAAACCCGAAAATCAACGGGGAATATTTACTCTCCAAGCAGAGGTTTGGGTTTTGGCTTTTTTTACGTGTTCTAGGCTTTTTTATCGGGCTTTCTTTTTTTGCAGTGGTATTTGGGGGATTATTACCTTCGCCAAGAAGGTTATGTTTTCAGTAGCGTTTGTCTGTGGGTGTGTTTGTGTGTGTGTGGTTTAGCAAGATAACTCGAGAAGCAGTGGATGGATTGGAATGAAACTTGGTAGGTGGGTAGGTCTTCATGAGACCTAGAAATGATTAGATTTTGGGCCCCCTGGCGGCTTTCCTAGGTACTGCAGCTGAACTTCCGGTTTTGATATCTCATGTTCTGGACATGCTAGGGTCACGAATTTTAGTTGGTAGATAACTCTTGGGGTAGGGAAGAAGTGACATGAGTTTGGGTCCCCTAGCGCCTTGTTCTGGAACTGCAGGAGCATTTGTTGAAAAAAAATTGAAGGACGATAACTCAAGAACCGGTTGACGTATTGTCGTGATTTTTGGTATGTAGGTAGTTGAAGTGATGCTTGACATAATCAGATGGCAATTATGCAAATCAGGAGCTAATTTGGCATAATTAATGAGGAAATTCTATAAATCTGATTTGTTCGATAATAGAACTATGAAACAGTTGTGACATCTACTTGAGATCGAGAAAAACATCTGAGGATATAGATTATGTAAATGAGGACCTAATTTGCATAATTAATGGCAAATTCTTATAATTCCATAGTTGTAACTGCTGCACCCCGAATTTCATACTTGCCACATTTGGAAGTTAAGTGAAGGTGAACATTAATAAACATAATTTATTCAAATCATGACCTCATTTGCATAATTTATGAGGAAGTGCTATAATAGCCTTTTTGTTATGATAAGGCTGTCATTGGGTGGAGAATATGATCAACTGATATAATCCATGCAAATGAGGGTCTTATTTACAAAATCAAGGATTAAAATTGTAGAATTCGTCACCCGCAAGGGTTAACATCTTTTGGCGAAGGTATGAGATCGTGGAACTCTTGTTTCAATATTGGCGTAAAAAAACATACCAGTGCAAAAAAAAAAAAAACAATAAAAAAGCCTAACAACACACAAAAAAATAATCCCAAACCTTACTCTGCTTGTAGAGTAGGAGTATTCACACCATGATACTTCAGAAATATTTTGAAGGCCTTATTGTAGAGTGATCAAAAAATCTTTTCTTTTAAATATTGAATTTGAATCTAATGTTACCTCATCATAATTTATTTAGTGATATCCACAGTATAAAAGTTGCATCGTATGAACCTGTTGAAAACCAGAGATCTGTTTTCAAATGTTTTGGTCGGGAGTAGTAGCCTGGGTACCATCCTACTTGTATGCCGGGGCTCCCACACTCACTTCCCTAACAAGCATTGTTAGGGAAGCGAGTGTGGGAGCCCCGGCATACAAGTAGGATGGTACCCAGGCTAGGGAGTAGTTGAGACTAGAGTCAACACACAATGAACTACTCGTCTTTTTGTCGCTCGAAATGTGATAGGATTTAAAAAAAAGAAAGAAAATGGTTCTCAAGTTGTTATAAATGAATGGAAACTTTAGGCATAGTTAAATATTAACTGTTTGGCGTCAAAAACCTACAAAATACGAAACAGGGGCCTTTGATGCTAGCCTCTACCAGGCTTCAGAAGCGGCTGGAAAGAACAGAAATCGGCCAAACAAAGAGATGATATGCCAGGGGAGTTGGTCCGCTGAAAGGGTACATTCTGGAGCAGTAACTGTACTCCTTTAGCGCACTAATTGGCTATTTGGCCAATTTCTCCTCTTCCCAAACTTATCTG